ATCCAGGGGCCCCTCAACCGGCTGCTGTCCCCACTCCAGGGTCCCCAGATCTCCCAGTGCTTACTCCATAGCCCAACCCTTGAGGCAGCCCAAAACAAAAACCAAACCAACCACAAAACTTATTTTGCTTTGTTATTTTATTTTTAGAAGTTTTTACCACAGGGTCCAGGGAAAATGAGTAATCACCCCCTGGGGGTGTGGCTACACTACAATCCCTTCTCCTCCTGGGATTCTGGGCATGCACGCATTTGCACCTGGCATGTTTTCTCAAGCTACTGGGCCTGGGACTCGAACCGCAGTTGGCCATGTGGGACCCAACGCCTTAACCTCCACGCCACCTGCTGGCTCACTACTCTTAGAACTGACTGAATTTCTGGCCAGGTTCATTTTCCCCTTGTGTACGTCCTGACAAACTCTATCTGAAAAGGTACGGCCTGCCGGTGAACTTCCAGGCTGTGCTCCTGCAGCCGCATAAGAAGTCCTCCACCAAACGCTTACGCGAGGTTCTGAACTCTGTCTTCAGACACCTGGATGAAGTCGCTGCTGCGAGTATACTGGATGTAGGTATCCAACCCAGAGCTGCGCTTCCTGTGAGGTCGCCCGGTCGGCCAACACACGTGCCGGCCTGGAAGGAAAACCCACCGTACACAGTGCTAGAGTGTGTGTGCGCGCGTGTGTGTGTGCGTGCATGCATGGGGATGCTGTGCAGGACGGAACGTCTGGCCAATGCCTGCAGAGCTTCCTCATAAACAGATTAGACAGCAGGACGCCGGCTTAGACGCTTAGCACGGGGCCCATCTGCTTCCGCAGGCCTCTGTGGACATCCCCGGGCTGCAGCTGGGCAATCAGGACTACTTCCCGTACGTCTACTTCCGCATCGACCTCAGCCTCCTCGACTAGGACGGGCCGCGGCCGCAGCGCAGCTCGCCCTCGCGCTCGCAGACTCCTGCCGGCTTGTCTCCGCCTCAGCCAGAGAGCAGGCCCCACGCCCTGCAGATTCACATTTCCAGAGAAACTGCTCATGAGTCAGTTACAGCTGTATTTATTTTTGTAAGTTACAATAAAATGCTGCCTCTTATATTCTGATATAATCCCAAACTTCATTTTTTTAACGAATGTGCACTGCCTGGTGTTCTGTGAGCCTGGCAACCACGTGGGGACCCTGGGCTGGGCAAGGGCCAGCTGCCCTCCTAATACGGACACCCTGTGGCCCCTCACGCAGCCGTTCTCCGGGTGACGTGGGCACTGTGGTTGGCACCCAGGGAGAGATGTCAGGGTCATCGCTTCACCATGTTAATTTACGGGCGAGGCTCCAGGCTAAATTTACAACGTGGACACTAACTTCATAGATTTATTGGCATTGTCCAAAATATTTTTATTCTTTAATGGAAAAAGCCATTCATATTCAAATAAAGGGATCACATTAAAAAACCTGTTTAAGATACAGCCTCCAAGAACATTCAAGCAGCAGTCGGAGGAGAATGTCAACCACCCAGCTTCCTTCCAGATGTTACGTACAATCCGATTCACTGGTTACAATTCATAGAATTTTCCCGTGTTTTCTTGAGAGGCAACAGTTCAGCGCTACAGTGTCTTCAGATGACCCATCAAGAGCCACGTCCTGGGTAAAGGCCACTGGTAGAGTCACCTGACGGTAAAGGAGGCTCCTTTACTGCTGAGAACCCGCTTGCTCCCAAGAAAAGAAAAGCACGTGAAGCCTCTGCTGCGGCTCACAGCTCGTCCTTCCCCAAGTCGTCCAGCTCCACGTCGCTCAGGTCGATGTCATCCTCCACGGGAAGCTGGGGGACAAGAGAGCACGGTCAGAGCCCGATGGACGTGTTCCCAGGGGCGATAGCGCCTGCTTCCCTCCACGCGCCAACACTGCACGGGCGGGTGAGGCAGAGCAGAGGAGCCGCGGCTCTAACACGTGACCGCACCGACCCCTTCACGGGAGGAGAGCATTACTACACCTGCTCTCATTTAAAGGGGCGGGGGCAGAACTGCAGAGCAGTAAATGCTCGTTTTAGAGCTGTCATTTTACACCTCTCTACAGTGAGGCAGGTGAATTCCAGGCTACACGTCCTGTAGGGTGAAGGTCAGGGAAGCAGCTGCACGCCAGAAATTGATCTTGGGCGTCATGTCAGAAGCCGTGTGGCACGATCTCGTGTCAAAGGGAAGCCAGGAGCGAAGGGTCTTGAGAGCAAGAACCTCTGGAAAGGCCCCTGGCGTTAGGGTGCTTTGAGCACAGAGGGCGCTGGGTGGGATAATGCAACGGGACAGGACAGGCCACTCACCTCGCCGTCCCTGCCGTCCCAGGGCTCTCTCTCGAAGATGGCAGGGAAAGCCCCGCCTCCCACGGGTGCTGTAGAGCCACGCCCAAAGGACAGCTCCCTGGGGGAGGGACAAAGACAATGCACACGTTCAGGACTGGGTGACACCAGGGGGCACACGGCCAGTCAGAGCGATCTCTGCGCACTCCACTCCTGGGAGCAGTCGGGGACAGTAAAGTGGACAGCACACCAGGGAGACACGCCTGGGTCAGAGCACGCCAGCCGCTACTCACAGCTCGCCAACTCGGAACAAGTACTCGGCTCTGCTAAAACACGAACCAAGTCGGTCCACACCATCAACGCTGCTCTAGGACATGGACCTACGAGTCTCATTTTCGAAGACTGAACTCCATCAGAGCAACCACCACTGAGGTGGCCAGCACCAACAGACCCAGCATCGGGGTAGACTGCTTAGCAGGAGCCCGGACACTCGAGACCACGCACCTGTCGCATCTGGCTGTTCAGATTCAGAGCTTAAATACTATTGGTGCAAAGATGGAGAGTTCACCAACCCTGTAAGAGTTCATGTCAGCAACAATGACGTCAAACTAATAACCTATCAACGCGGTGGCGGTAGGGGTCTGGGATGAACAAACCCATAATTAGAGAAAAATTACCCACGACGTATTCAAATTCCAACCTTCTGACTAAGCGAGAACTTTAAGACGACTGCGACCTGAAGGCATTACCAAACTTCTTTATGAAAACACTATTAACCAATCGTATTAACCAACCACAATTCCCATTTGGGAACTGAATCGAATAAACCATAAAAATTATAGAAAACTTGAATTATTATTTTTTTTGGAGAGGTTTTTGCTATAGGGCACGTGCAATTGCCAAAAAGACAGAGGCAGAAAGTGAGAAATCACCCCCCAGGGGGGATGGCCACACCACAATCCCTTCTCCTCCATTCTTCTCTCGGGATCTTGGACACGCACACACACCCAGTGTGAGTTTAAGCCACTGGGTCCGGGACTCGAACCTCAGTGGACTACATGGGAGCCCAGCAACATAGCCATTATGCCAACTGCTGGTCCCAAATTATTATTTTTTTAACTATTTTTTTTAGCTCTATATTTATTATTTGATCAGAGAGGGACAGAGCGAGAGAGAGGCAAGAAAGAATATAAGCCACCAGGTCCAGGACTCGAACCGTGATTGGCCACGTGGGAGTCCAGTGGCACCAACCACCACGCCACCTGCTGGCCACCCAAATCAGTTTTTTAGCGTACTAATAGTATCGACTGCTTTTGAGAGCTGCCTTTTAGAAATTCATGTTGAAATATTTACAGATGGCGTGAAAATGAAGGAACTGAGTAGATGAAGTGAAGTGGGCCATTAGCTGGTTACTGCTGAGGTTGAAAGTAACTATAAAAGTCCTTCAGGCTAGTCTCTGTTGTCACATGCATTTGAATGTGTCCACTGATAATAAAGGAAAACCATTAAATTGAAAAGGAAAAAACTTCAGGCCGGCAGGTGGTGTGGGGTTAAGGGGCTGCATCCCACAAAGCCACCTGCATGGATCGAGTCTCTGACACAGCAGCCTGAAAATCATGCCGGGTGGAGCCAGCAGATGGTGTAACGTTATGTCACTGGACTCTCATGTAGTCCACTGGGGTTTGAGTCCCAGACCAGGTGGCTTAAAACTCACGCTGGGCGCGTGTGTGCCCAAAATCCCGAGAGAACGGAGAAGGGGTTGTGGCATGGCCATCCCTTAGGGGTGATTTCTCACTTTGTCTCTCAGGTGAGTGCACAATGCCCTATAGCTAAGTCTCTAAAAAAAATAAATGAGAAAAACAAAAACCAGGTGTGTGTGCCTACATGCCCAAAATCCCAAGAGGAGAATGGATTGCATCATGGCCATCCCCAACAGGAAGTAATTTCTCACTCTCTCGCTCACACGCCCTATAGCAAAAACTAAAAAAGGAAAACCAAACAAAAACCTCATTACTTTGGGTTTAATGCACTACAATGTTGAGGGAAAGTGCAAACCAAATACCTGCTCTAGACCTGGCTGCAGGGGAACAGGTGGTGGGGAGCCACTGCACTACTGCAGCCAGACAGCAGCCACCCGGGAGTCCTGGGTTCAAATCCCAGGCTGACCTGAACACACTGGATACGTGCACAACTACGACCCTGCCTGCCGGGAGACTAAGGAGAGGACTGTGGCGCGGTGAGACCCTGTCCAGGCACCTGATCTGTCTGCCGCCCTCTGCCACGTGAGACACCTAACTAGAAGAGAGTTGATTTCTATGGTGCGCCTTTCCATGTAACCCACCCAATTATTATTAAATTGTAACACACCTCACAATCTACATGGTCTCGAGCACCAGCCAGCGCAGCGGTGCGCTCGTCCCAGGCACTCAGCTGTGCGACCAACTCTCAGCTCTCCAGCACCTCTGCAGGCGTGCTACTGGTAACCCGTCCACACAGCGTGGGGAGCGAGGTGCAGCAGCATCCCGTGAGAGGCGGGGAGGGAGGGCTAAGACTAACTGCAGCCAGGCAGGCTGGAGGGGCTGACCTGTGGCTGCCACCCCACACCTGCCTCCATCTTGTCGCTCCACATGTCCCCCACCCCCGTCACCTCCCAGGGTGCCCCAGCGCTCCCTCCTGTGTGCCGAGTGTCCTTCACAGAGCAGCTGAGACACGACCAGGGAAGGGGCGAGAGCGGGAACAGAACCTCTTCAGTCAGAGCCTCGTGTTTGCCTGGGCGGCGACAAGGCTGGTACAGCAGGTGCTGCCAGCAGAGCCGGGTAGAACATTGTACAAACCTGCTCCCGAGTGTGAGCCGCGCATGGTGTTTGCACACTGCCGGGCTGGCCTGGGTGAAGTGCACCGATTTCCAAATAACCTCATTCCAAAGTCAAGTGCCCAGAAACGGAAGCCGCAAGGCCAGAGGGCAGGAGCGCAGAGCAGTCCCGGGCGGGTACGGGTGAGGCAGGCGCTGGCATTGCGTGCGGCCTTCGAGTCAGGCTGGGTCAGTGTGGTAAGTGGCCGGGCGGCCCGAGGCAGCCAGGCCTTCCCATCATCCGCTCTGCACCCACTTCCACGGAAACGGAAGCCAAGTACAGAGGGGACATGGAAAAGCTCCGATTTACCACCGGCATTACAAGTGCAAAACAGTGCTGGTTGTGCCTGATTTGCACACGTCCAGTTTCAAACCAAACCAACAACAGAAGCAGACAGACGAGCAGCTCAAGAAGTCACCTGAGAAACTCGTTAATGCCCTGCTCGCTGAAAGACCCTTTCAGGAGGGCGAACTTCATCTTGCGTGCATTGATGGCTGCCATGGCGGGGTATCCGAACCCTCCGATGCCCAGCGCGCTCTCCAGGTCACTCTGGGCTCCAGCTTCTGTCCACAGCCACCTACAACAGCAAGTGGCTCTCAGGGTGATGATGGCTCACATTAGATTCTAACTCAATCTTAAATGCACTTCAAATATTTTCTGGAAGGGTGCTACCTCTCTGGTGAGTGTAAGCATCCCTTGGTAATTAAAAAAAAAATAAAGGGTGCCCATGCGAGGGACGGGGGGGGGCACCCCATGCCAGGTGGGAGAGGTCAGGATGGACGGGGTGAGGTCAGAGGGGCTCGCCCTTTCCCCAGTGTGCACGGGAACAAACAGATCTCCCTGCTCTAGACAAGAAGCCCCCAGGGGCCAGTGGGTGGTGTGGTGGTTAAGGAGTCTTGGACCTGGTGGCTTGCTCTCTCACTTTCTCTCTCTCTCTCTTACACTCTGTCCCTCTCTGGTCAAATTAAAAATAAATAAATGTATGTACGTATGTTAAAAAAAAAAAGTTGCCCTGAGATGGTGAACAGGTCGGGTCAGAGCCCTCGGAATGGACACCGACCCCGGGAGACACGCCAAGAGACCCAGAGTCCACTACTGAAAGAATTTTTTTGGCGGAAATAAAGTAAATATAAAAATATAAAGGGTTTTGAAATACTGCTGTCTAGATTAACACCAGCTTCTCACAATGTCCCCACCCTAACTCCAGAATGGACTGCCTGTCTGTAAGATGCTTTTGTCCTTAGTCCCCAAAATACTGTCAACTGAACTCCACGGGTTCTCCTGTCTTTCCACCTGAAATCCTATTATGGGGGTTATTATGCATGCGCGTGTTTCCTAGGCAGGTGATAAACACTTGTTGAATTCATGGAGAAGGAGCGAGGTCACTGACAGGGACAGTAGAGGACACGAGTGACCCGGGGAGACCCACAGATACCGGGGATGAGCAGCAGAAAGGGCACGGCGTGGGGAGGGGCGGGCCGGACTCGGAAGGCAGCCGGGAAGCTCACGTCTACCTCCTGTCTAGGGCCCTCCAGGCGCCATCAAGCCTGCACCCGCGCATCTACCTGTTTTGCTTTCTGGCCTGGAACCAGGCGCGGGCATTGCGTGCGGCCTTCGAGTCAGGCTGGGTCAGTGTGGTAAGTGGCCGGGCGGCCCGAGGCAGCCAGGCCTTCCCATCATCCGCTCTGCACCCACTTCCACGGAAACGGAAGCCAAGTACAGAGGGGACATGGAAAAGCTCCGATTTACCACCGGCATTACAAGTGCAAAACAGTGCTGGTTGTGCCTGATTTGCACACGTCCAGTTTCAAACCAAACCAACAACAGAAGCAGACAGACGAGCAGCTCAAGAAGTCACCTGAGAAACTCGTTAATGCCCTGCTCGCTGAAAGACCCTTTCAGGAGGGCGAACTTCATCTTGCGTGCATTGATGGCTGCCATGGCGGGGGATCCGAAACCTCCCATGCCCACCGCGCTCTCCAGGTCACTCTGGGCTCC